AACAGTCGGCTTTTTACATTCCTCCAATTATCATGAGGACGACAACCTCGGCTAATGCTCACCTTACTGAAGTGAAGACATGAAGAACTACATAGTGGACAAAGCTACTTGGGTACATCCGCGGAATCTACAGTCTATCAGTGACGCTATTCGAGTGAAGAACTCTCCAGCGCTGTCGCCATCAACTTCAAAACCCTCTTTCGAGAGGGATGAATGCGCCAAGCAGTTTGAAGTTGATTCTCCAATGATTCGCATTTGTCCTTTGCGATTGTTTGAATAATTTGGGGATACAGTGGCGAATGTAATGCAGGTGACTGTTAAAAACGAAGCTCTTGTCACAGTGTACGATCACCCTGAATATTTGTTTTTCCATGATGGAACAAACGGGGAATCTCTGTAATCGGAAAATGCTCGGTTAAGCAAGTTTCTGGAGTCGGTTGCAAAGAAAAAGATCAACCCAGAAGGAAACAACAGCTTCTCCGAAAGGGATACAGCTTGGCTTCCTACTTTCCCGAGTTCAACTAGCATGCGTCAACGCCATCCTTTCACTGCGCCGTATTCCTTGCCTCGCTCTCCACAACAGGCATGAACCGAAAGCGTACCGAAAGTATGGCAAGACAGGATAGGATTAATCACCCCAGGACGATCCTCTGTGCACAAGAAATGGAACGTAAGAAGGAGCGAGTGCAACACTTGCGACCGAAGGATGCTGATCGAGACAGTGTCCCTACTGAAACTGGTGAGTATTTCGCTAGCTACTCTCGGCAGTATACTCTGCAAGCCGTCTGTTCTGTTCTCAACCGTGATTGAGTACTTTATACCCTCGATTCCTCTTTCAAAAGCCAGAAACGGGAATCTTGAGGGTATTCTAGAGCACCCTACGATGCCCGTATTCTAGAGCGCGCTAGCTTTGTGCCCAAAGAGCTTTCAGATTCACTTCATCCTGGTGTAGTCGTAGAGGTTCTTGAACCACTACCAACAATCGACACATACTATTTATTATTTTTATTAGGTCGTGAAGAAAGTTCTTGCGCTTTTGGACCTTGATTTTCAAATGCCTGTATCTCGGCTCATTCGAAACCTTTTTGATTGGAGTAAAGACTGTTAGAATCCACAAACCTCTGCCAATAATAGCTGCGTTGAATCAGCCCGGTAGTGCAGAATACTGGAGCTCTAGAGACGATGAACCCGGCGGAGGTCGTTTCCGCATCATGTTGGTTTTTGAAGCACAACTCCACTTCTTCGACTTCGATCACTTCACCAAAGGTTCGTATTCTGTAACAAGAAATCAGTTCTTTGTCGTGCGTCGCAAATGATCAAAAAGTCAGGTCCTTTTCATGGCATGAAACAAGCTAGAACGCGGCGAACGACCCTTCAAAATGGTGAGCTGTCGCGGCACGCCCTATTTGAATTTTTGTGACTTTCCAGCTCTTCCCGTACAACAAGAAAACACAATGCAAGTGCGATTAGTTTAGGAGGAACCCTCTCAATAGATTTGTGCAAACGTGCTTCAACCAGAACGTTCGACTAATCGTTGGCGTTGTCCAATCTCCGATCACCACCCTCACAATCTTTAGGGCTCTCGCTATTCTTACAAAAGCTTTTTGAACAATTGCTTCAGACCATATTTATTGCGAATCTCAGCCAAGTGCGTCTATAATATCTTGACCTGCTTCCTCTCCATACTGGCCTGCTTTGAGCTAGAAAAAGGAAATCATGCAAATTTGCTCTTGGAGTATGCCGTATTCAAGGCTTCAAAAAATGACAACTAAATAATAAGGAACATAGCTAGCCTAGCTGTTAGATAGAACAAGAAAAGCTCTTCAAAACCACATACAGCTCATTGGCAGCTTGCTTGAATTCGTAACAAAATAAAGCGTTCAAAAACGAAACACCGAAAAGCGCAAGAACTTTCTTCACGACCTAATACATCTCTTCCCAGTTGCCAAAAGTAGTAAATTGTAATTAGTTCATGATTTTTCACATTTGAAGAATTCAATTAATGTTACCAAATCCATACTATAATAGATGTTATAAAAGTCTATGAACACTTTAATACAGTAGCGGTCAAAAGTCTTCGCCGAAATTGTTTTTCGACTGTAACTTTTTTTCCGCTGAATCAAATCAATTCAAATTTTAATATGTTTTAGAGATAGTCCTACTTCACTTAAACGGCATATTTGTTTCGGATTGAGAAAGAATTAAGAATGGAAAAAATCATTTCACTAGAAATTCTCGCGTATGAGCAAATTCCAAGTAGGTTTCAAATTACTCTAGCAAGCTTACAATTCAACAAAACAATCTTACGCATGATGAATAACACTGGGCAGGTCCAATACTTTGTTAATGATCTTCTGGGTACGCTGAAATACTAACAAAGGCCTAAGTAAGGAATCAGTCATTGAATGCACTGTCTACTAGGGCAGCTTCCTCCACTTCTCTTGAACTTTGACGAGTTTCTCGCCCATATTTCCGGCTCTTATTTCCACCAAAGGTATCCCTAGTCTTTCCCATAATGTTTCGATGGCGCTCGGGACATTGGTGTGAATTGTTCCCTTCGTTGAAAGCGCGCCATGCTGGCGAAGCCACTCCTTCACAGTAAAGGTGCGATGCTTTTCTTCGCACTAATGCTAGAAGGCGAGCTCAGTTTTGACCAACTGTCATACATGTGGATAAGAACTCCTTCTAGAACCCAACTGTATAGGCTGCCTTCACATGATTGCGAATACTGCGAAGTTAGTCGGCGGTGAAATGGTCGGGGGCGAAATGGGCTTACGCACACCTAAAGTGGGGATCCCCATAGGGCTACAACGTCCTGCGGACCAACGAGAGTGTATTCAAGATGTTTACCGGCGACTGAAATAGGAATGTGTGCGGTCCTGAGGGAAAACGTTTCGATCCAAGGAATTAACTGCCGTATGTAAAACTTGGCGGAGGCTCGCGTGTGGTAGTCCGTAAAAGAAGTTTTACAACTGCACAGGATTAGAGAAGTGGTGAATGCCGACGTATCAGATAGATTCTGGAAGGAGTTTCGTATTCGCTCGTATGAAACTGTACGTGACTGAGTTCGCCTTCTAGCTATAGAGCGACCAAAAGCATCGCACACCTTCACTGTGAAGGATTGGTTTCGACAGCATGGCGCGCTTTCAACGAAGGGAACAATTCACACCAATGACCCGAGCGCCATCGAAACATTATGGGAGAGACTAGGGATACCTTTGGTAGAAATAAGAGCCGGAAATATGGGCGAGAAACTCGTCAAAGTTCAAGAGAAGTGGAGGAAGCTGCCCTTGTAGACACTGCATTCAATGACTGATTCCTTACTTAGGCCTTGTTAGTATTTCAGCGTACCCAGAAGATCATTAACAAAGTATTGGACCTGCCCAGTGTTATTCATCATGCGTAAGATTGTTTTGTTGAATTGTAAGCTCGCTAGAGTAATTTGAAACCTACTTGGAATTTGCTCATACGCGAGAATTTCTAGTGAAATGTTTTTTTTTCATTCTTAACTCTCTCTCAATCCGAAACAAATATGCCGTTTAAGTGAAGTAGGAATATCTCTAAAACATATTAAAATTTGAATTGATTTGATTCAGCGGAAAAAAAGTTACAGTCGAAAAACAATTTCGGCGAAGACTTTTGACCGCTACTGTATAGTACATGCATTCCAGACAAGGTTTCGTGTGACATCTGACTTAGCCTTTCAACGGGTGTGAAACTCTTGAGATCATATCAGCGACCTCGGCCTCACATGGATGGGATAAAAATGAAAATTCCGAGGCCTCGCCTTCAAACTTGCCTCAGTTCTGCAACTATTCACTGAATGTTTGCGCCCGTTTGTCAAGGAGATGGAGAGAGCTAGGTATGGCCATCATCGACGACAGGATTTTTTCTTCAGATTTTTTTTGAAGGAGGGTGTCAGGTAGTTTCAACATAATCATTCAGCACTTACAAGTAGCGAGACGGCAGCTCATGGAGTGTGTGAATGGATTCATCGCAGACGGCAAAGTGTTAAGCTATGATAGCAATTCGGCTGATATGTGTTTTAGCATTACAAATGAGAGGCGTGAGAAACCCAAAAAGGATGAAAAGTGCACAACCGTCATTATGTGAAAGGTTAAAATGGTCAGGGACCCTTTCCTCTATGCACTCAGTAGTGAACTTTTCAGATACCTGCTTTATACGAGGCGTAGCACGTATCGCATTGGCGCAGTCTAGAGTAGCTTTTACGTCGCAAATAGGTGGAGGAAGAGGAAAGGTAGTTGCCTCCTTGGTCTTCCAGTCTAAGAAGAACTTTAAAAAACCTCTCTCTTCACGCATTGCGACTCGTCCGTTGACTCTGCTTTCCTGTCGCGCGTCGGGCCCTGTCCTGTTGGGTACACCATGCCATTCATAGTACACCCATGCACACTTCTTCTTTGTGGTGTACCAGTAACGGCTGTAATCAAAACCTTGGAGGCACTTATTCGCGAATGCTGATCAGATAATTGAATCTGAACCAGCCACTGTTCATATCAGCACCTGTGCTCCCCAACATCGCCGGACCACTCCCACTGATGGATGTATGTATACCTGTTTTGATTTTGACAGGTATGTGTAACCAGGTGATCAACTCGAAGAGATATGCACCGCACCAATTTTTTGACCCAGTGACTCGATCGAATAAGGAAACTCGAATGGCGTTTTATTAATTTCAGATTGCATTAATTATGAACAAGCATTACACTCAACAAAACAGAGTATTCCAGAACATTAATACTTGCTTTACACTTATTAACAGATTCTGGATGATTCAAACATGGCGGAAAACATGAATTGATTAGCCTGAAACTCTGCCTATACATGTGGAACGTCGAGACAACGTTCTCTATCAGTAAGGAATCGCGAAATCAACCCGACAGCTGCAACTGAAAACATTTCACTGTTTCATCAGGGGTCTGTGTGAAGATCAACGCCGCGTAGTACCGGCACTCACTCCGAGAAACCGTTTCGAATGTGACTCAAGCTCCTCGAATAAACGTCACATTAGTAAGATCGGCGGCGTGCTCCAACTCTACTTCTGAAAAGAAATGTCTCAGAAAAATCGTTACAGTATTGATATGATATCCCACGCGTTAGCACACTGACGACAGCAAAATTCGTATGAGTTCTGCACCAATGTTTTGTATTCCGTCATTTCGCATGGCCCTCTTATTCAGTTGTTTTTTGTAGATGTACTTGGAACAAACCATAGTATAACGACATATCGTAGAACCGACCTGATCACAGAATGATCAAAATGACTGAGTTCAGCGAAAGACTCCCAAGCCTCACGGAGTTAGTAGTTTGGTTCATTCCTTGTCTTCTTTCATGGAAATGAGAAAAAGAATGGAATTATTGGGCTGTACAGAAAATTCAGCGACATTTTGAACAAATACCTCTAGAGAAAAATCAGAGCCCTTTTCAATTGTCAATTTTCAATTGTTTTGGCATCCGATAACTGTAGTGTGTTTTGGGGGTCCAGTAGGAGCCTGCATGAAGGCTTTGTGCAACGTTTTACAGCTCCAAACCTCTCTGAACCGAGCCATCTTTTGACTTATTTTATTTCTCGAGCTCCTATGAGCCACTCTGTTTGTGTCGTTGCAGCTAGCATCTGTGCTGTATTCAGGAGGTAAGTCGTTCAGCAGGCCATAGTGTATTCGGTCAACAGAAGGGGAGAGGGTCATAACTTCATCAAGTACCTACACAAGATCTGAAGGTGCCAAGGCATGGCTAAACGGCAAAGGAGAACAGACTTCCAACTATCACTGCGACTACGACTACAGGCGACTGAATGGGCGCTACTTGTTACTAAGGTACGTCATGTCCCAGTGAGCACAAGCGAAAAATTCATTCGTAGGAACCCTCATGCTTTCCAACCGTATTAAAGTGGAGGAAGGTGCAGTGATTGGTATTGACCTCTAGAGTACTAATAGAAACTTCTGACAGGGGGAAGGTCTCCTTTTCAAGATAATCTAGCATCTGCTATGAAAGTACTGATCTTTTTTGGTTTCAATGGTCTTTACCGCTTCTCCATGTACCGATTTGCAGAAACTTATGGCTATTTGGAGGTCGAAAAGTCGCGTTTCAAGGGAATGGCCTAAAACCTTTGAGAGAAAAAACGCAACAACAGACATTTTTCGAAAGAGTGTCCATGCAGTAAAAAAATCTGCTTGATAATTTTCGAAAAGGGTCAATCTTCTAGTATCTAATTCGCTTTATTCGCTCTGCGAAAAGGTAATAATGAAGGAAATCATGAACGTTGGAATGATGAATACTCGAGTGTGCACAAAAAAAACGGAACAGCGGGACGATTTTTGAAGAACTGAACATTTTCATAAGTTTGGACCATTTCAATTTTAAAAAGAAAACAATTCGAAGTTTTAAGTTTCTGTATAATATCTCATGAGACAGGGAAGGTCCATACCTTCTTCAAGGTCATCGTGGGCGACTTCAACGCCAAGATTGGCCCAAGAAGAACGGCTGAAGAACTTCACATCGGTACTCACGGAATGGATTGAAATGAGCAGGGCGAAAGACTGTCTGAGTTTATCATGTCGACCAATACCATAACAACAGTTAAAGGAAGCAGTCACGATAATTTTCATGGCAACGATAGGAAAGCTATGTATTGGAGTGGGATAGAGGTCCTGCCCAATGTTAGAACACGTAAAGTTTCAGTGGCAGTGGCCCCTTATCAATGAAGTGATAAGGAGCCGAAATTCACTCAAGTTCAGCAAAACCCAAGACTTATCGATGTGGAAAGGGGTGCGATAAGAGCGTGCTAGATATGATACCGTTATCGTTATCGTCCCGTTTTCATTCTGGAGTGCACCTCTTATCAAGCAGCCGCACCTTCTTATCTCATCGTATCATATCTTCCATGGGCTTACACTCGTCCAACAATTACTGCCTCACACCTTATCGATTGATAACGCGAGGGTAGCAAATCCAGCGTGGAAGCCAGCGTGACTGCTTCCTTTAATAATATTAACAGTTAACTAGTAACTAGGTAGGTAACTCACAGTTTTCTGAAATATTGAGGTTTTGGGGCAGTAGTGGGATATTACCAAAAAGAGTTGAAGTTTTAAATACAGACATATGATGGCAAAATATATCTTACTGGAACAACTGAGTCAAATTTGCTTCTGAGACCCATACAGAAAAAGCCACTGAACTTTGCCTTTTCATTGCCACTACGCGCCACTTTGAACAATAAATTTCTACTACTGTACCGCTCGATACATAATCACATTGTGTATTGCTGGAACATTTCATCGAATCCATTCATATTCCAGGTATTGCTCATTTACAGCTCAAAATCCTCTTATGGAAGGTGACGCGGTAGTGCTTGCATACTTGCTTCGGTCCCACGCGGGATAAATAACCCAAGCTGCAGTGATTGAGATGAGAGGTCGCACTCAGCAAAATGAAAAGGAAGATCAAAGGTCACAACCGAAGTATAGAGTATTTTTCTCTGTGAGTGTGGTTGTAAGGTCTCCGCACAGGAGTCGTGACACTGCCGCAGCCTAGAATTGCGTCGAAGAACGAAGTCGAAGAAATCGTCCGCAGAAGCAGCACTATCCTATGTTTCCCATAAAATATGAGCTTGAGAGTCACACTTCACCATAAGATTAGACAAAAACAAAAATTTGGATCCGTTTTGATAAACCATTCAAAAAGCTCAGTGGACTGTTACACATTCGAATTCTGGCCGTGTATCCGTCATAAATGTGGTGGTGAGAATGCTTCCACTTACTTCTAAGAGTGCCGTCACTATAACTCTCTTTGACCTTTTCCACCTTTTGACGAAAATATTAAATTTCACTGTTCCACTGTCTACGTTCTTAAAAT